CTAAAGAAAATATCAACATTTAAATATTTGATAAAAAACTCTTTGCTATTATTCTTCAAAAAAGCAACAGTATAATCTTTAACAAAAATTGAAGAAAAAAGACTAATCATCAATCATTGATTCAATGCTATTAAATTAAATTTTTACGAAAAGAATAAAATATTTTTTTTTTGTTAAGTGATAACAAAAAAAAAACTATATTATATATATATATATATATATATATATATATATATATATATATATATATATATATATTATATATATATATATATATATTTACTATATATAGTATAAAAACTATAATATATAGTTAAAAAAAAGTCACTATATAGTATAAAGTGACTTTTTTTGTTTTCACATCATCAATCTGTTTATAGATTTTTTAGACCCTAATACAAATATGATTTTAGCCTAACACGTTAAAAAAAGTGCAAAAAGTAAATAATTTATATTTTTAAATCAGTAAATAATATTATCAAGTACTTGTTTTGAAATATGAATTTTTCAATACTTTGAACTTGCGCAATGTAAAATTAGACATTTCTATTCACCATTTAATAATCGTTTTTATGTTACTGGAGTGCAAACTTAGAATCATAGAAAACTTTATTTTCCATATAACACAGAGCAATGCGTTATTATTGATAAAATAATTAAAAAGCATTTCTTTGCTTGTTTAAAAAAATAATAACTTAAAACTTTTAAATTGTTAAAAGTTTACATTACTAGAGTCTTGTCTTTTCTAGACAGAATAACAACTTGAAAATCATTTTCCTTAATATTATCGGACGAAATTACTTTAACCCGCACTTTTTTCAAAACTTACTTTTTTAATAAAATTTAGCATTTTGTAAAAAAATTTAGCATTTTATAAACTAGGGTCTAAAATTAAATCATAAAACAGTTTTATTTATTGTTTTAGTTTGAAAGTTGCAAGCTAACCTTATTCTATCTTATTTTAATTTAAATTTTTGATATATTATTTAAAACATAAACTAAAAAACTTATTTTATTTAAACTATGTGCGCCAGGTTAAAACGATGAAATGAGCAAATTTCTAATACCTAATATTTTTGTACTTTTGTACTATAGCGTTTTACTCGGCTCTAAGAGTCCTTAGCGAAAACACCATAAGCGGTAGCTGCCGTTAAAAGGAACTCATGCGCCAAAAACAAAAATATTTAAAACAATAGATTAAAATTTTTTGCACTTTTATTTAACAGTTTTGCTTGTTATTTTCGTGTCTTTCTTTTATATTTTAATTATTAACTAATAGATGTATCAAATATATTAACTCTTTGAATTCAATATCCACCCAAAGAAAAAAACACTGTGTAGAGTACCTAGTTTTTTTCTGTTTATGTATCTTATAAAAATAGTACCAAATAGAAAATTCATTATTAAGAAAATATTTTTAAAAAACACATTTTTTAAAACTACTTTATAACAGACACCTGAAAGATGAAAATCATTTTTTTTAAATATATTTCTTTTGTTGTCCATCGCAATCTTTTTAAATATAATCTAAAATCTATTTTCATTTAAAAGAAAATCTTATTGTCAATTTCAATAAGTTTTTCAATCTCAATAATTTTCAATAACTAAATGAGCTCTTTTACATAGTTTTTCGTATCTAAAAAGAAAAAAAACAAACAATTATTTTTATTATAATTATCCGTAAATCGGACTCTACATTTATGTGTCCACATTTATGTTATTTTAGTTAGTAAGACAATTTAAAAAAAAAATCAGCAATAACAAAACTGTCTTTCTGTAGTAGTAATAGTAATTACTACTACTACTACTACTACTACTACTACTACTACTACTACTACTACTACTACTACTACTACTACTACTACTACTACTACTACTACTACTACTACTACTACTACTACTACTACTACTACTACTACTACTACTACTACTACTACTACTACTACTACTACTACTACTACTACTACTACTACTACTACTACTACTACTACTACTACTACTACTACTACTACTACTACTACTACTACTACTACTACTACTACTACTACTACTACTACTACTACTACTACTACTACTACTACTACTACTACTACTACACTACTACTACCTCTATCTATTGATATTTACTTTCATCCACTATAATTTGTGAATTGTTTTTAATAGTATATTTGGCGGATCACACTGCATTAGTTCTAACTTATGATATGCCCAACTGTTTCACAGTGGGCCAGAATTCACTTTTACTAGACAAAATTCATAACTAATTTAATATTAGAAATATAATCACTAAAATTAGCATGAGTACTAATATGATGTCTGCCCTTTTTATGAGGGTGCTATTTTTTTTATTATGTTGCTATGGATACCTTTATTTTGCTTAGCAACAACCTATTTTTGGTATTTCCAGATTTTTACAAGTGCTATATTTACTAAAATTAGCATGAAAAATAATATGTTGTCTGCGTTTTTTATGAAGGTGCTATTTTTTTATTTTGTTGCTATGGGTACTTATATTGCTTAGTTACAATATCCTTAGTTACAATGGGGTAACTAAATGTCGTTATAACATTGTTAATTTGTAGCAATAAACATATAGTAAACAGAAAAAATGAAAAGAGAGACATTATTCAAGTAACAGTGCAGTTAAAATGTTATAATATAATATATTTACACAAAATCTTTAAGTGGTACTTCTTTTAGTAGCTTTAGCACTCCATCTGGAAAATCTTTCTTCTTTGGATGATGTGGTGTTCTCAATTTACTAATAATTGGATCAGATGAACACATCAATCTCCTTAACAAGTCTTCATTTGTTTTAGAATGGGAGCACTTGAAAAAGACTCCCGGAACTTCTTGAAGCCCTTGTTACATGCTTCTTATGCCTCCTTACTGAGCATGCCGATTGACAAAGCCATTTGATCCACAACTTGCCGACCATGAATAAGAATTCGGTGAAGGCTCTGTAGCATGTGGTACCATGGATACTGGTTCACATATTGTTTAGCTGTTTGCATGCAGAAGTCTCTAAATCGAGAAGAATCAATAACATATTGTGACGATAAAGTGCACAAAATAACATGCAATTTCTTAATGATGGTGACATCGAGTTGGAAAATTTCAGCAGTCTTCTCTGCATTTTGAAAAAATCGTCGAACAGTATTGCCAGCGTTTGGAGGTCCTGAACCACAAGTCCTTGGAAAATCAATTAAAAGCCCAACTTCATTACGAAATTTCTTTAGAATTGATGTCTTTATATCTTGAATTATTATTTTTTCTGATGGTTCTCGTGTTGACAATTTCTGCATTGTTAATTTGTAGCTTATTTTGAGAAGACATTCCATAGTTTCCATAGTAGTTAGAGAGTTGAAAGCCCATAATTGAGTCTAGTTTTGATTATTGGGAGATTTTTTGTATTTAAGTCATTCATTTTTTTTGGATTGCAACCACAAACTGAGCAGCATTGCAATGATTTTGTTGTTGTCGATAGTGCTGTGGCAACTTTCCAATCCACCAGTAATTGTAGTAAATTTTTTCTATTGAGTTGTAAAGGAAATGTTCTTCTACTTTTAATGCATCTGATGTTTCTTTTTTATAGGAGAATCTTATTGGTCTGCAAAATAAAGTGGATGATGGATGAGGGTTGAACTAAATATTCTTTTTTTCGCCATTACAATATCCAGATAACAGCAAAGGCAAAAAGCAAGTGAGGAATAAGCTGGCTTCATTTGTAATATTTTTGTTTTCTTCCTCTGTTGTTATTTGAGTATAAAGGCTTTGGCCAGTTGATCCATCAAAGCCAACTTTGGACCTTAGGGTTATTCGTTGAATATCTTCTAAGGAGTTAATAACTTCCGCCTGACATTCTATTAAACGTAGTGCTGTATAAGTGACCAATGCTTGCATGTTAACCTCTGCAGAATAGTCAGTGACAGTTCATAAGTTATTCTCTGGAAGACAAAGTACTTTTGCTTCCCGTACATTATTATAAGCGGATATAAATTACAGCCTTTTCTTACAGCATTGTTCCTTAGGCGCTGATAATCAGACTTGCTCAGATTATTATCTAAGATGAGTGCAAAGGCTTCATTGGGAGTATTTTGAACATGTTCATCAGTTTGAGTTTTTGATAAATTTCTAACTACCTTAGCATTCTTTCTCCTTCCTTGTTTCCAAAGTTTGCAACTGCTAGCAAACAACAGCTCATTTGAAGAACTTGCCAATGATTCAAGTTTTGACACTTTCCTCTTTTTAGATTTATCAAATGATTCTTCAAATGATTTACAAAGCCTGCGAAGAGATAATTTAGGTGTAGTTTCTGTATTGCATAAAGAAAAAGTTTTTTTGGGACTAATAATGAATTTGCAAAGCCAGGCTAAATTTTTATCCAAAAAAATATCATTGCAACGTCCACTTGCAGCCCATCGCTTTCTGTATTCAAAAGTAAATTTTGAAAATTGAACCTTACATTTAGTATTGCTAAGCTGTTCACCAATAAAATTGAAAACTAACAGTTTATCTTTTTCATTTGATAATGATAATTTGTTTTCTCTTATAAATAAATGGATTTGATTTCTATTAATGCTTGACATAATAACAATAGTCTAAAGTTAAAAATAAAACAATTTATCAACAGGTTTTCATTTATTTTATGTAGAAATATTTTCTTTTAGTAAAATATTTTCTTTTAGTAACTAAAATTAAATAATCTTATTTTAGTATCAAAATATTCATTATATTATAACATATTATATTATTGTGTTCGCGATGTTATATTTTATATACAATATTTTTGCAAATAATTGCAAATAAAAATTAATTTAGCAAATATTAGCAGCTAAATTAAATATATTTTCATAATATGTATATAAAAGCTTCAAAATATGTGTATAATATAACAGGATACTACAAGATCTTCTTTTTTTTGGTATTTTTTAAACCAAAAAATTCAATTCAAATTTTCTTTTAATGAAGTATTTAAAATTATTATAACTTATTTGTTT